AGACATCATGTACTTCCACTGTTTCGAGAGTCTGGGACTAGATCCAGCATTGTTGCAGAAGTATGATGGTCCTATCTATGGTTTCAATAACCAACCTGTTCCGGTGGAAGGAATTCTTACCCTCAATGTGGCTTTTGGGAGGGGTAGAACCTATGTGACCCCGTCGGTCCGGTTCCTTGTGGTCAAGATGGCGTCCTCCTTCAACATTGTTATTGGCCGACCCACACTGACTGAAATCCAAGCTGTGGTTTCCCAATCTCACCTCTGTATGAAGTTCCCAACTCCCATGGGAATAGCAACACTGCGAGGAAACCAGGAGGTGGCCAGGCATTGTTATATCACCTCGGTAACACAACCCATGAAGGGCAAAACTCAGACACCTGAAGCCATTCCCTAGCAAATTTTTGATAATCAGCAAGTTATGGGTGTTGAGATCGTAGATAATCGACCGGAAAATGAAGCCAGAGCTGCTCCGGTCGAAGATGTTGAAGAAGTACTTATTGATGACAGAGATCCAAGCCGAAAGACGCAGATCGGAACTAGATTGAACCCAGAGGAAAAAGCAGAGCTCATAGCTTTTCTTCGAGCTAATAATGATGTATTCGCATGGACTTCGGCAGATATGCCAGGAATTCCAAATTCAGTCTCTCAACATAAGCTCAGCACCAATCCATTGAAAAAACCAGTGGCCCAGAAGCAGCGTCTCTTCGGGGGTGAGAGGCTTCAGGCTATTAAAGAAGAGGTAACGAAGCTCTTGCAGGCTGGTTTTATCAGGAAAGTCGATTACTGTGAGTGGGTGGCTAACCCAGTTCTGGTGAAGAAGGCAAATGGCAAATGGCGAATGTGTATTGATTATACAAATCTTAACAACGCCTGCCTTAAGGATTTCTATCCAATGCCAAGCATTGACAAACTAGTTGAAGCGGCTTCAGGCAATGAGAGGTTAAGGCTCTTGGACGCATATTCGGGGTATCACCAGGTGCCAATGGCTCCAGAAGACGAAGAGAAAACCGCGTTCTATGCTGGCGATGAAATTTATTGTTACGTCATGATGCCGTTTGGCTTGAAGAATGCAGGCGCTACTTATCAGAAAATGGTAACCATTGTCTTCCACGCTCAGATTGGCAAGAACCTGGAGGTATATATTGACGACATTGTGGTAAAGAGCCTAAAAGCAGAAGACCATCTCGCTGACCTCGACGAAACCTTTAACAACCTTAGAAAGAATAGGATGCGGTTGAACCCAACCAAATGCATCTTCGGAGTGGAGTCTGGAAAATTTCTAGGTTTCATGGTGTCCCGAAGGGGAATTGAGGTCAATCCAGAGAAGATCAGAGCAATTGCCGAGATGGAACCGTCGAAATCAGTGAAGGATATACAAAGGCTGACTGGAAGGGTGGCAGCTCTACATCGGTTCATATCGAAGTCAGCAAATAAATGTCTGCCATTTTTCAAAATAATGAGGTCAGCCGCCCAGAAAGACGAGTCAGGGAAGCAAAAGAAGTTCGAATGGAGCCAAGAATGCCAAGCTGCATTTGAAGAGCTGAAGTCTTATCTTAGCTCACCGCCTCTGTTGACTAAGGCCGTAGATGGCGAACTTCTTTACTTGTACCTAGGGATTTCAGATGAGGCCATTAGTTCAGTTCTGGCGAGAGAAGAAGCTAGACAGCAGAAACCAATTTATTATATCAGCAGTGTGCTGCACGGAGCAAAGCTAAGGTATCCTATAGCCGAGAAAGCAGCATTAGCAGTCGTCACTTCGGCCAGGAAGTTGAGGCCGTATTTCCAGTCACACCCAATTATAGTTCTCACCGATCAACCTCTCAGGCAGATTCTGCAGAAACCAGAGTGTTCTGGAAGATTAATTAAGTGGGCAGTAGAACTGGGAGAGTTTGAGATAACATTCCAGTAGAGATCGGCCATCCGAGCTCAGGCATTAGCAAATTTCATTGTCGAATGCACTCCATGTCCTTCAACCTCTAATCCAGAGCCCAACGACTGGACCTTATATGTTGACGGAGCATCTAGTAGCAAGGGTTCAGGGGCTGGCGCTCTCTTGATTGGTCCAGAGGGATACCGAAGTGAACATGCCCTGAAATTCAACTTTGATGCGACAAATAATATGGCCGAGTATGAAGCTCTACTACTGGGTCTACAACTCGCACTAGAATTGAAAATCAGTGCAATTCAAGTGTACAGTGACTCCCAGCTGGTGGTGAACCAAATCAACTCTATTTGCGAAGTCGTCGATCCTGTGATGGTAAAGTATGTAGCCTTGGTGGCCGAGCTGAAGTGCAAATTTCAGAAATTCTGTCTGAGTAAAATTCCCCGAGCTGAGAATGAACAGGCAGATTCACTCTCCAAGTTTGCCTCTGATAGCTATTTAAGCTCCAGATCCGTTTTTGTAGAGGTCTTAGATGAACCAAGCTTCATGAAGCCTCGGGTGATGGAGATTAACACCAACCCTGACACGCCGAGCTGGACTAATTCAATTGTCTCCTTCTTACGAGATGGGATAGTATCTGAGGACAGGCAGGAGGCGATGAAATTGAGGAAGAAAGCATCTCGGTATACACTCGTTGATGGAGTCTTATATAAGAGATCTTTCTCACTTCCTCTTCTACGGTGTTTAAACCCCTATGAAGCTGAATACGCACTTTGAGAGGTACATGAAGGTGTCTGTGGGAGCCATGTCGGTGCTAGAACTCTGGCTCACAAAGTCTTAAGACAAGGATACTACTGGCTAAACATGTACAAAGATGCCACTTTGTTCAGAAATGCCCGAAATGTCAATTCTTCGCACACCTGACTCATCAACCAGCGGAAGAGCTCACGAATTTGGTAGCGCCGTGGCCATTCGCTCAGTGGGGACTGGATCTTTTGGGTCTATTCGTGAAAGGGGTTGGTGGTGTAACCCATCTGGTTGTTGGTGTGGATTATTTCACAAAATGGGTTGAAGCTCGACCTTTATCCAGTCTTACCTCCAAGAAGGTCGAAGATTTTGTTTTCAGCTCGATCATTTGCAGATATGGGATCCCAAATCAAATTGTGGCTGATAATGAAACTCAATTCAATTGCTCTTCATTCCGAGATTTCTGTTCTAGTTATGGGATCAAGTTACAGTTCACCTCTGTTTACCATCCGGAGTCCAATGGCATGGTGGAATCTGTCAACAAATGCATTTTGGAAGGTATAAGGCCGAGATTGGAGCAGCATAAGGCCAAGTGGGAAGACGAGCTCAACAACGTCCTTTGGACATACAGAACCACGAGCCGAACTGCCACAGGTACCCTTTTAAACCAAGTTTATTTGATTAATTTCTATAGTATTTCACTTCTTCTGCCATCCTTAGAGCAAATATGCATAATGCATAAAGTGCATTCTAAAGTTATAATTAACTGAAATAGGTGAAACACCCTACCACCTGGCCTTTGGTACCGAAGCAGTCATTCCTGTTGAGATAGGAGTCCCAAGCTTCCGGGTCACCCATTTCGATGAAGAATGAAATGGACAACTGCTTCGGGAAAACCTTGATCTGCTTGCCGAAGTCAAAGAAGAAGCTTGGCTTCGAACTCTTGTATACAAGCAAAAGCTAGCCAACTTTTACAATAAACGGGTCCGCCCTCGCACATTCAAAATAGGAGACCTTGTTCTCAGAAAAGCTGGCTTAACGGGGTTTGAAACTCATTTTGGCAAACTTGCCCCAAATTGGGAAGGTCCTTATGCCGTGGCCGAAGTGCCACATCCTGGTGCCTATATTCTCCAAGACGCTGAAGGAAAAAGAGTTCCTAGAGTCTGGAATGTCAATAATTTGAAGAAATTTTACCCCTGATGAAATTCTTCCAAGCAATCTATGTCTTACTGTTCTTTATGCTTCTCACTCCGTGTTTGTTAAGATTGATTTTATCTTTTTTTCCATGTATCCGAGGTCAATCAGTACTTACACCTCACTTCTGACTAATAAAAGTCACTTCCCGTGTGAAGTACTTTATTTCCTTTTGAGTTCGTTCACAATGATGTACTCATTCCTAATCTACATGGAAGTTATTTACTTCTTCTTACTTTGTCTGAAGTGACTTACTTCCCCTTAGTTCATTTTTGAAATGGTTGCCTCTCATCTAAATCACAATCTCAGTTCTTTTATTAATAAAAAATAATACCACAAATGTAAAGCGAATATAAACAAACACATGATTTCAAATATCAATTTTCATTTCGATTAAAATAAAGATTACAAGCTATAAATGTCTTTACAAGAAATCAAAAAATTAAAAAACAAACAAATTATTCTTCAGGGAGGGGTGGCTCCACTGGCTCCTGTTCAGCTGGAAGAGGTGGCTGTGTTGGCTGCTGCTCGTCTGGCAGAGGAGGCTCCTCCTCGTCAGAAGGAACTGGATGAATCTCCACTTCTGGAATTGGTTGATTATCATCCACTGTAGCTCCTTCTACTCTTGCCTCCACTTCGTCTTCTTCTACCTCTACTCCTTCTTCCTCCACTGCAACGAACTCGAAATCGAACTGTGGAGGAAAAACAGCAAGACCGTCTGCATCATCCTCCCACCTCAGTTTGATCTGAGGCCGGAAGTCTGCTGACATGCTCTCACCATCTTCCTCCACTCCTTCTTCTTGCTCGCCGAAGGTGACCTTTGTCACATCCACTTCGGGATATGCAGCCTTCACCTTCTTTCTACAGTCTGTGAAAGCGATGATGGCAGTGGGCAGCCGGTACAGGTTGACGATGCTGTCAAACGAGCTAGAACTGATGAAGTTGCTGATGTGCTCCTTCATCCCATTATGCACCAACTTCCGCATGTTCCCCTTCAGCTCCTTGAACGCCTCTGTCATCAACTTCATCTCTTGCGCCTAAGCATCACGCTCGCTTTCAACAATCCTTCGCTTGCTCTCCTCAAAAGCAAGCTTGGTGCTCAGGGAAGACCTTTCCTATTCCAACTGCTTCATAGTTGGAACCACCTCGTCCAGCGACTCTTGCAAATGTTTATTTTTCTTCTCCAGCACCTCCTTCTCCTTCTGCAGCTGGTCACACTGCCTCTGCAAGAGTGCGCGCTCCTTCACACCATCCCTGAACTCCTGGGCTAGACCATTCACCCAGCTCGCGCTCTGCAAATCAAAGCAGAAGTTCAAAGGGAAAGAAAAGAAGAGGAAAAAGAATAAATAAACAGTAGCACTAACTTAACGTACCTCAAGGACGTGTTTCACAACAGATGCTCCCCCATACCTCAGAGCTTCCTGCCGCGCGTTGCACTTGTCCACTTCGGGGAAGGTGCTATTGATAAACCACCTAGCCCCCATTACGTTCTTCGCCTCGAATAGGCTGCTCTGAGACACTGTAGGGGAAACAGGGCCCTTCCCCTTCCCAGGAGCCCATACCTCAACCCCCTCCTCCAACCGTCTAAGCTCGGGGTCCAGCTCATCCTCCTTATCCTCCTCCACTACCTTCTGCTTCTTTTGCAGTGCCCTTCTCTCCTCCCAACCCTTTCTCTTCAGCGGTGGTACCTCCTCCTCCGTCCCAGCAGACGCCAAGGGTACCACCTCTTTCCCAGCCCTCCCATCATCCACTTGCTTGGTTGAAGTCTTTGACTTCTTCCTTGGCTTCTTGGGGATGGGCGCTCCTCCAGCAGTGTTCAGAAATTGCTCCATTTCACCTGCAAAGCAAGAAACACAATATTAGTCACAATTCTATGTTCTACATTTAACGCTACAGTATATGTCAAACAAACCTTCACTCAAGGCGCTTGGCCCATAGAGCTCAGCAGCCTCTTTGCATGCTGCGCTGGTGAGGTCCATGATATTCAATTCCTCCCCTCTCTTCCTCACCAACCTCCCCACTTCTTCCTCCTCATCCACATTTAAGCTAAACTTATTCTGGTTGGCCCTTTTGGCCTTCCAGGAGGCTAACGCCCTCACCTCGACATCCCCTTTCCCCCATTCCGTGTCATCCACAAAAAAGAATTTTTCCTTCCATCCCTTA